CCAGGGGTGTGCAAAATGTGTCTAAACCAGGGGTGTGCAAATTTAGTCAAACTCAGGGGTGTGCAAATTTAGTCAAACTCAGTCATTAAGTCAATGTTCCAGTACAGGAAAAACGATGTACAATTGCCACTGGTTATTATTTATGTAAGACTGAGAGGTAGAGTTGTTTGGCGTGCAAACACAAACATGGATGTTTATCGAGAGCAAAATGCAGCAGATTTTCTGAACTGAGGATTAAAAAAGTAATTTGTTGTTGGTAGAAGGTAGTTTGTTCAATGCTGCAGAGCGGAACAATCATGAGTGTCTGGAGCCAGCTGTGACACATGGTGAAGTTTAGATTTAGCTGTGTTTAGTCCAGATTAACAAGGAGGTACATACATTTAAAGAAACAGTGTGTAATATCCAGCAACATCTACCATAGTTGTTAAGATTCCTTATTGCAACCAACTGAAAAAAATTACACTTAACACTAAATAATAATTTGATGCAGGGAAAAAACTTTTCAAGACTAAAGAGATACTTACTTATAAAGACCCAGAGCAGCGACCATATGATCACCACCAACACAAACACGACTGCTGTGACGATGACCGTGATGTGAGGGATGTTCAGCACGTAGGCCAACAGTCTCTTGAGTCCTTTGGGTTTCCGTCTGCTCTTCCTGTACATCCTGCGCAGCATCCGCAGAGTGTGATCCACAGTGGCCACCTCCACGGACACATCTGCAACCTATACGACCATCGGGGGGAGGGGTACTGTCATGTCCTCTTATTAAAACTGTCCCAACAGCCACTACATTTCTTTTGAAGTAGTCACTCTAGCATGATTTGATTCTCATTAGGATGAGGTAGAMGGTTCAGAAATTGTTTGATATTAACATAAAAGAGAAACATCAAAACATTTAGTCTCGTGGTTCTGATTGGAGAAAAAAAATCCCATGCAATGGGTGAGTGACGTGAGCTTYTGATCACTGGGTTAATTTGATGCAGCTGCTCATGAAGAGGAATATCTGAAAGCAATACTATCTCCATCAGATGCAACACTYGACACTCGTTAAGTTACCCAATGCACATGTTTTATTCATTCAGTGTCATCCCATACTGTGCAGCTGGCACYCAATCCTTCCCATTAGCAGCATATAGACACTCATGGAGGGGGGTGTAAAGCAAAAAATTATAAACACTTTCATATATAAAGCCTTTAGTGTATTTAGAACGTGTTGTTACAAAAAAACTAAACTTAACCTGGATTTTGTTTGTTTAAACAATCAAGACGTATTAGGAAATTGAAACAAGTGTTTTTTTTTTAACCAAGACATTTCAGACTTTCAGTGTTAAATGTATATTCTTTTAATTAATTATGGGGTGGATTCTAAATGAAAATTCAACTAATTTCAAGCTAATTATGGCCTGCTTTTTGGTCAAAAACAAACTTTTCTTCYACATGAATTTTCACAAAAGGCTAAAAAACAGCTTAAGATTTAAAGACTTTTAAATAAATCTACTTAAATGTAATACTTTTTACAAAACTCTTCAGTTCACTTACTGTGATTGGACCTAAATTTACTTATTTTTAGAAAACTTTGGCCTTAAACGTATCAACAACTCGCTGCAGTGCATTTTAAAACCGTGGAAAAACATCTGGAGTTGATTCCATGTGTGGCATTCACACATGGAGGCTGTCAGAGCAGCTCACAATGTAAGAAAAACAGGCTGAGCTAATCCATCAGATAGATAAGAGGATGAGGAGGGTCTGACTCAACCTTCTAATGCATTCTGAGGTGGGAGGCGAGAAACACAAAACAGTCACAGAAAGCAATGCTGCTGTTTGATCCCGGTTTTTCCCGTTCCACGACATCCGTCTAAAGCTAACCAGGAGACAAACGTGTAATTATCTAACAGGAGGTTCAACACAGCAAAACCTGGGGATTTACCAGGAGGTGCAAACTGCTGAGGAGATTCAAGCACAGAAAAAAAACAAAAAAACCAAATGAAGCTTTGACACGCTATAAAACAAAACCTGCAACAAAATAGAAATATGTGCAGAAGTTTGAAACGGTTAATAACTCAAAGTATATTGTCTCTGCTTTGATGGACCAGATGACCTCTGAACTATAGAATGTGTACAGATGAAAAGCTCATTAGACGCTCGATAAAGAGAAYAATGTAAAACATGGTGAGAGAAAGGCAGGAGCTCCTGGAGGTTAAAAAAAGTAGATTTTTCTTCAACGACCGAGGYGGTTTTCTGATTTCCTCACAGAATTTAAGCTCTTCTAGAAAAAAACTTGTACACAAGAGAAGAAAATTTGGCAAAAAAAACTCCTTTATTTTGGTAACAACAAAGATTTGACTTTCTGCTTTTAGAGGATTCTCAACAGGAATTCCCCAAAATGAAAGCTAATTCTGCACTTTAAGACCGTACTTGTTATATGAACTTAATTTTTTAGTTTGTTTTGGTAAACAAATGTCTTACTTACACTTGCAGAGTCTTGTTGAGGCGCATCTTTGTCTTCGCTCGTCTGCTCGGTCTCCTCCTGCTTTGTGCCCATGACACAGAAATCCCATCAAGACATCATCATCACCACCGTCTAACTGTTAAGTGYTGCTCTTTCAGCTTCATTCTCTGCCCACCGTACGCTCACGTTTATAAAAGAGCAACAAACAAACAGTGGAGCTCCACATAACGCTGTCCGGATCCTCGGTCAACAGGTGTCTGAAACTGGATCCGTCGGCACAGACGAGCCGTCGAGAACCCGGCAACCTCCAGTCCCACATCTAAGGTTTCATTCATTACCCTCCATCCCTACGTTCGATCAAATTCTCAATATTTACCAGCCTCAAATACATGCATGCTTGTACAACAGTTTTATTTACAGTTAAATGGTTACGAGAATGTGCAGAGTTAAGTTCGTCTGAGCTTTTTGGGCTCAGAGTTGACAGCAAAAAAGGGCCCAGCCTTCATGAAACAGAATATACATCCTTCGCATCATTAAAAAAAGCTGTAATATTTAAAATAAGTTTTGTTTTTTTTAATAAGCAGCATTTTTAACAAATAAGAACAAAACAGAAACAGTTTAACACTTTTCTAACGCCCCTTTGAATCACAGGCACTTAAAGGTGAAACTCGCAACAAAAAGAAAAACAGAGGCACAAAACAAAAACCTTAACAGCGCGTACACAAAACAAAAAAAATATAATGTTCTTTGAGACTTCAGGACGTTTTAAATATGCTCTGAACGAGCAGAGAAAGAAAAAAGGAAGAAAGACGGAGCATCACTTTCTGAAAAAGGCGTTGCGGGTGATGCTGTAGAGCAGGTGGTAAGGCTTTCGTTTGGGAGGTTCGGCCAGGAAGAAGACCTGCTGCTGAGGCACGCTGGTGGGAATGTTGATGTGGCGCTGCTGGAGAGGCGGAAGGTTCTGGTGGTGTGGCGGGCCAGAACCAGTGTAACCCAAGGCTGAAAGGGTAAACAGAAAACACAGGGTTAAACCAGAAGTAAATCTGAGGAACAGATCAAAGTCAAATGTTTTCCTACCTTTTTTTCCATGTTTAGGTCTTCTGGCCTTGAAAATAGCCTGTTTCCTTTGCTCCTCTGTGATATCCATTCCTGCAGAGAACACAGAGAACGTCTCTAAAATGTGGCAGGTGACATCTTTCAATTAAAGGTTCAGCATCTGTTCACAGTAGCTGTTTGTACTCTGAGGGYCTCACCCATCTCTTGGTCCTCTTTGACCCGGTCTCTCTCCTTGGTGAAGGCCTGTAACCACCTCTGCTTGTCCTGGACCTTCCTGCAGCACAGCACACACACAAACTCCAGAGTGTCGACGTGACGCAGCCGCAGAGCGTTCCTCAGGGTCAGACCCAGGTACGCGTCCCACCCGTCGGGGACRTCCACCACCTCTATCTGGTCCATATCCAGCCGGCCTCGGTAGTGGAGCAGGTCTCTGCGCAGGACGTCTTTCTTGCAGTAGACCAGCTGGTGGTCAAACAGGAAGAAGCTGCGCTGCTGCATTTTACCTTGTCGGACCACTCGAGTCAGCTCACCGGAGTGGATCAGCTCCGAGCTGCGCTCCAGCACRTCTGGACCCTGCAACACATTCACAGACACTGAGCAGGTGGAAAAATGTGACCCATCACATCGAACCAAGGATTAAGTCCCAAAGTGGGATGTGGAGAAATAGGCAGATACAGAGTTTTGATTGATAGATAGATAGAGCTTTATTGATCCCACAGTGGGGAAATTTGAACATTACAGCAGCTCAAAGCAGTAGAGTTGCACTAACAGACAAAGATGAGAGAGGCCTGTAATTGACATCATAGGTAGACCTCAACTATGAGAGACAAAATGTGAAAAAAAATTTGAGAAAATCATTTTGTCTGACTTTTAAAGATTTTTTTTTGCAAATAATGGTGGAAAATAAGTATTTGGTCAATAACAAAAGTTCATCTCAATACTTTGTTGTATATCCTTTGTTAGCAATGACAGAGGTCAAACGTTTTCTGTAAGTCTTCACAAGGTTGGCACACACTGTTGCTGGTATGTTGGCCCATTCCTCCATGCAGATCTCCTCTAGAGCAGTGATGTTTTGGGGCTGTCGGCGGGCAACACGGACTTTCAACTCCCTCCAAAGGTTTTCGATGGGGTTGAGATCGGGAGACTGGCTAGGCCACTCCAGGACTTTGAAATGTTTCTTACGAAGCCACTCCTTTGTTGCCCTGGCAGTGTGCTTGGGATCATTGTCATGCTGAAAGACCCAACCACGTTTCATCTTCATTGCCCTTGCTGATGGAAGGAGGTTTGCACCCAAAATCTCACAATACATGGCCCCATTCATTCTTTCATGTACACGGACCAGTCGTCCTGGTCCCTTTGCAGAGAAACAGCCCCAAAGCATGATGTTGCCACCCCCATACTTCACAGTTGGTATGGTGTTCTTTGGATGCAACTCCGCATTCACTTTCCTCCAAACACGACGAGTTGTGTTTTTACCAAATAGTTCTACTTTGGTTTCATCTGACCATATGACATTCTCCCAATACTCTTCTGGAACATCCAAATGCTCTCTAGCAAACTTCAGACGTGCCTGGATATGGACTGGCTTAAGCAGGGGGACACGTCTGGCACTGCAAGATCTGAGTCCCTGGCGTCGTAGTGTGTTGCTGATGGTAGCCTTTGTAACATTGGTCCCAGCTTTCTGCAGGTCATTCACTAGATCCCCCTTTGTGGTTCTGGGATTTTTCCTCACCGTTCTTGTGATCATTTTGACCCCACGGGCTGAGATCTTGCGTGGAGCCCCAGATCGAGGGAGATTAGTAGTGGTCTTGTATGTCTTCCATTTTCTGATTATCGCTCCCACAGTAGATTTCTTCACACCAAGCTGCTTGCCTATTGCAGATTCAGTCTTCCCAGCCTGGTGCAGGTCTACAATTCGGCTTCTGGTGTCCTCYGACAGCTCTTTCGTCTTCACCATAGTAGAGTTTGGAGTGTGACTGTTTGAGGTTGTGGGCAGGTGTCTTTTATACTGTTAACGACTTCAAACAGGTGCCATTAATACAGGTAATGAGTGGGGGAAAGAGGAGCCTCTTAAAAAAGAAGTTACAGGTCTGTGACAGCCAGAAATCTTGCTTGTTTGTAGGTGACCAAATACTTATTTTCCACCATTATTTGCAAAAAAATTCTTTAAAAGTCAGACAAAATGATTTTCTCAAATTTTTTTTCACATTTTGTCTCTCATAGTTGAGGTCTACCTATGATGTCAATTACAGGCCTCTCTCATCTTTTTAAGTGGGAGAACTTGCACAATTGGTGACTGACTAAATACTTTTTTTCCCCACTGTAAGTCATATCTCTGGAGTCACTCATGATATCAGGATGATCCACATTTTAAAAAGTAGCTTTTAAAGCCAGGAATCTGAGAATGTATTGGGTCATTTTGTCCAAATTTAAATTAATCCTCGGTTTGATGGGATTTGTCACAAATAATATAATATTAAAACTAGTCATTAATCCTCACCTCCCAGTGTAAAATGGCCACCTGCCAGTGAGCGATGGTGTCGATGCTCTCCAGGCGTCTCTTTCTTTCATTAATTAAACTGGCCACATTCTTCATCGCTTCATATGCCTTACTGACACAAGGGTAGTCACTGTAATCAAACAAGGACATCTCTGAAGAGCAGACTGAAAATATAGCCCATAAAAACAAAAGTAACCCCCGTCGTGACTTATWCCAGCTAACAGGGTTTCTCAGTGAAGGGGTTGAACATGTTCTGTCAAATCTAAGGATGCAACACTTTTGTGTGGAATGCTAACTGTTGTGCAACGATTGGTGAATGTTGTCTGATTTACTGCTTCGCTCTGTGGCTGCTGCTGTCAGTGTCACATGCTGAGTGCTACATTTACAAACATTACCCTTCAATCACACATTAAACCTCAGGAGGGGAAGAACTTGATCGTTATTGTGCACGTTTGTTTATAATGCAGCAAATTTTTATGATCCTCACACCTGTCAGCCACATTAAACAACCAGCAACACCTCTTAAGTTAATTTAGTCCCTCTAAACCCTTTGGGTATTTAATCACGTTCCTCCAAGCTTTTGTGCCGAAGCTGGTGGAARCCACTGTCATCAGGGAGTTTTGTTGCCATAGTGGGAGTGTTGTCTCCAATAATGCTGTTGGTTGCAGTGTGGACTAATTACATAAATACCAGGACTYAATGTTTCACAGTAAATCTTCCCACCATGATGAAAAGACCCATCAGTGGTTGTATTGTTGCATTTAATGTGTTTGTATTCTGAATCTTATTTTTAAGATGCAGCGTAAACAAACACTGGCATGAAGGTGCTACCTGTGATCTTTGGGGGTGTACTTCAGCAGTTCCCCCAGCTGTAAGGGGTATTTGCAGATCTTCTGAACAGGCGTGAGCAAGAACCCGGCGAGGGAAATGTCAATCATCTGCTGGAGGAGGCGGCAGGCCTCGAAGAAATGCTTGTATTTYCCCATCTTCATGAGGCACTGCAGCTCGGCACAGGCTGCAGGGTGAGTGTTGCAGTATTCAGAGTAGACGGAAAAGCCCTCGCCCTGAAGAGAAACACAGGAGTGTTCCCATTTACTCAGATTTATGACACCAAATCTGTTGAGACATAACTTTTGTGTCGTGGAGGATTTTTTTTAATGCCAAGCAACAACCTGCAGGAGGAAGCAGGAGCCTATTTCACTGAGATGCGGCTGTTCCTTGTTGTACTTCTTCTCCAGCTCTTTGAGGAACTGCCTCTGGAATTTGTAGATGTCTTCTATGTTGCTAAAGATGGTCTTCAGCTGCAGGTCAGTGAACATGTTGGGGTATTTCCGACACTGACGGATGTAACCCTGAAACAGTTAGTTTTTTTAAGTTTCAATTCTAGCCAACAGGGGGCATTACATTCTGAAGGTAAACGTTTAAATAAGTATATTTTAAAGGCAGTTCTTGAAAAATTGCTKTAAAATTAAAGTGCCTGTGACAMGCATAGCYATGAAATACAAAAAGTCAAAGAAAATATATTTATATTTAAGAAACTTGGTATAAAACATGTGATTTGACCCATTATATCACATAACTGGCATATTTTCTTTTGAATTTAGCTCAGCTAAAGTGAAACAGGAAGTGACATCAAAGGGGAACTCTTCAAGAAATAAAACTCCCTGGTTTTTGTTTATTGAAACAATATTATTTGAACTCTGACTCTTCTTCATCTCTCTCTGATAGGGATTAAAATATAAAGAAACATCAGATTCTCCTCTACTGTCTGTTCACTTGCAGACATTCCCCTTTGACATCACTTCCTGTTACTCCATATGTAAATATCTCTGAAACTGTTCATCTCAGTGTCATGAAACATTTTTTTACAATACGTTCACAGTGTTTTCCTTCCAAAAATACATTCATTTTTATTAGAAAAAAATGATGTCACAGGCCMTTTAATGGCATTCACTAACATGTAGGTCCACTTCATTAAAAAAGCAGCCTTGTGTCGACCAAGCTAAACCGTTTATTACCTCGCAGATGTCTTTTAGGTGTTTGATGTAAATGCGTTCAGTATTCATGATTTCCTGAACCACGTTGGTTCTCATCTGCTCCCTGTGCTGAGTGGCGTGAGTGTCCTGGGGAGCTGGGTCCTTCTTGTCCGCCACACTCTCCACACTCTCGGCGCCCGAGTCCTCCTGGTTCACACGCACCTGAAACACAGAGTCTCAGCCAATCACAAAACACCCCTACTTCACATCCCTATAGCAACGTGTGCAAGCTTAACAAGTGTACGTTCATCAACACCGACTCTGCAACAACTAATTAAGACCCAGCTGTCAATCAATCCCCCGTCCCTACAGAAACCAGTTGAGCTCTGAGCCCTTCAGGACACCGTTCAGAGGTTTGTTTGGGTGCTAAGCCAGTTTGGAAGTCTTTTCAGTGCTGGAGAGCAAGCATGCAGGTCAGAAAGTCCACTTACCCTCACAAAGCTGGAGGGGAACCAGCCTTCTCTGTCAGCCCCCCTGCCCCACCACCACTCCTTATGGGAGGCRTCCAGGACACGGATAACATCCCCAGCTTTGAAGGACAGCTCCTGCTCCTCCATGGACAAGTGATCCCAGAGGGGCTCGGCGTACACMGCCTGCCCACAGTTTATCCACTGATGACATAAACACACGATTACATGAAAGGCCAAGTCCGTGTCGAACATGGGAGATTATATTTAGACATGTGTGTGAGGCGGCCAAACATTTTAGAAACATTTGGATATTCGTGAGACAGATGGCCTCACCTTGTTGAGCACGGAGAGGTCCACCCCCGGCTGGAGGTAGGGCGTGCCTTCGGAGAGATCATCGAAGCTGCTCTCCTCCTCCTCGCTCACGCTGTCGTCGAGCGTGGCCACGCGCTCCGACACRCCGTCTGCAACGCACGGATTTGGAAAACAAGGAATTACTGACATTCTTCTGTTCCCGTGTTCCCACAGAGAGGAATCTGTCCCATCTGACAAACAAGCCCATCCTTTCTCACCGCTGAGCACTCTGTGGAGTTTCCGTCGTCCCACGCGGTCCAGTCCAATGGGGGTGCTCTGGGAGAGGACAGAGGGGCGAAACCTGGCAGACACTCCTTTGTAGGGGGGCACCTGGTGGGAGGGGATGGGAGGTCGCGACAAAGGCTGCAGCAACAATAAAGGGGGGGGGGGGTGCAGAGATTCAGAAAAAAGCTTTCACCAGCTACCTGATAAATCCTTCTCACACAGAAATAACAGGGCTGTGACCTCTCGGCAGTTAGCATTCCGATCCAAGAGTCTGGGTCAGTAACTTTGGGATTTTCATCTGTTTTGTCAAAGCACTTTGGGAGACGTAAAATATTATCATAAACAGAGGTGACAGAAAATGAGAAGCAGATGGAGCGAAGGGTTTCGCCTCGAAATCAAACCTAGAATCTTGAAATTGATGCCTGAAGGTTTTAACCCTTCATCACACCACAACTTGGATTTTTTTTCTAGTATAATCAGTAAACATGAAGTGTGTGGATGTTTTTGCAATAGCAAAAAACAAACAAACAAACAAAAAAAAACCAGTTGAAGATACAAAAAATAGATCTCAAAACTGTTTTTAACACAAAAATACTTTCACTTGTTTCTTTTTTTCCAACACTGCAAAAATTAGGGCAGTTTTTAATTACCGTATTATGCTCAGTATGACCTGGAATTCTAAGAAGCAGTGGGGCAGGAATTGGGTACGTCTAAAGCTGCAGATTAGAACTAAAAGATTACAATCTGATTCACTTTCTGAACACAGAAGAAACCATGATGGTGGCTAAAAATGTAAACACAAAAGTAGAAGCAAGTGTTTGGTTTGTTTATTTTAGCCAGCTGTAAAAATATGAATCTTTTATTCTTGTGAATTTTTATCTATTTCACGCGTTTTATAAATAAAAAACTCGTAAAAGGTTTTGATAAAGCAGGTGTGGGAGGTAAAAGCAGGTAAAGCTTACAGAAGGTGGGCGGTCTTCCTCTAACTCTGCATCTGCAGGGAACAGACCCACGGCTCCTATCACTGAGATGCGTCGATGTTTTTGCACGTCTCCGTTCAGGTTACAGTTCTCAGGAGCGACTCCGTTCCTGTTATCACTGCAGACTTTCTGCAGCAGCGTGTCAGATGTCCTGTCCTCATCAAACTGCTCAGTCACTTCCTCGGGAATGAAATGCTTCCTGGAAACAAGCTGTGCGTAGTCAGAAATGGGCCGAGGTCTCGGGCGCCCGCTTCTTCGTCTGGGCTTGACCGAAGAGGCCTCTGTGGAATCCGCTTCTGTAGAAGATGTGGGCGAGACGGGYGACTCTGAGGAGCATGTTGGGGAGATGGAAGGTGGGCTGCTGGTAGCTGCAGGTGTTTCCTCTGTTTGGAGGAGTGGTTCTAGTTTTTGTAGCTCTGATCTCACCTGGAAAAATGTAAAAAATGAAAACAAGGTCAGAGTTATGGATGATTTTACCTGTTAAATAACCTTTCAACGTAAAAGGTTTGGAGCAGCCGGCTAGAAAAACAGCATTGTTAATCACTTATAAAAGGAAAACGTAAGACACAGGTAGAACAACAGGGTCCAGTTCAAAACTAATTTAAAGATCTTTAACACAACTGTTATAAAAGCACAATTTTCTTACGAATTAACCATTGTTCACATAGTGACCGGCTCCACGGTTTGAACAGTCAACTCTGTTTACCAGAGTTTAACACTACACAGATATCACATAAGTGTTAGAATTTGTATGTCAGAAGGTAAAATACCCCCAACAATCAGCTCGTGGTTACATAGAAATTAGACTTTTAGATATTTTGCAAATCTAAACCTCACCTCTTGCTTTCCTTGATCTGGCTCTGAGCCCCGGCATATACACTGGAAAGGCACACAGAGTACTAGCACCATTGTGAAACGCACAAAAACACTGGCCGGCCGCTGGTCCTCAAGGCCAAGTCCCTACATTTTTTTGAGGCCAGTTAAAGCCCTGTGATGTCTGCAGTAAATGAAGGTGGTTTTCCAATTCATTTTAAAAAAGAAAGTCCGGTTATCCGAAGGCATTTTCCTAAACGTCTGCATTAATCGACCTGCCTACTTGGTGGTGCTGTTAGCTGTCGTAGGCCCGGAGCTGTACTTTGATCTTCGCAGCTACAACAGAAGTGAGGAAGGAGAAATGAGGCTGTGCTTAGCCTGAGCCTCCTGCCCTCCCACGGGAATAGGACTATGGAGCCGTTTTTGCGTAAGGGGTCACTAATCATAAACAAAGCCTAATCATTAACTCCCCCTGCTCCTTCAGAGAGCCTGGTGGCGCAGTGAGCTGGCTTCAGCATGTGACTGAAGCAGAGGGCGTCAGGAATCATACATGGCTGACAGGAACACAAGGGTCAATCAATGTTAGACCTTTTTTTTTATCTGACGCACAACAAGACTTTGGACTGCTCACAGCTTGGTTTTTCAGCATACGTGCACCAATACAGACAAGCATGACACTATCGTGGGAACATGTCTCAATAAATTAGAACCATACTAAATTCCAAGGTCGTTTCTGAATTACAGGAGTGTTTTGTTTTTATTGCCCAGTGAMGGTTGAAGGCAAATCCAAATCAAAAAGCCCTTTAATACCAGTTTAAATGATAGAAAATTAGCTTTTTATCCATTTTTCAGTGCTTTCCTTCTCTTTGAATATTTGTGCTTTTCAATTAAAAGAATGTCTATGAATTAAAAAAAACCTGGTGAATCATTGTGGTTATTAAACAGCAGCATATTTAACCCATTCAGGCTTTTGAAAAATATGCATACATTTTACTTACAAATAAACCCCAAAAACATTAATTAATAGTAATTTCTATAATGTTAGCTTTATTATAATATAGTTTACAAAGCGTACCAGCTGCTCTTTGACCTACAACAGTTTGGAGGAAAAACATTTAATTCTGACAGGATGAACAAACTAAAGGATACTCTGAATGAAGCCAGATCAAAGTGGTCTGCTGCCATCTTAAAACAACTCACAGCAAAATATTTTATAGAGTAGAACTTTTGGTGCCATCTGGAGCTTATGGCAGGAATATTATAAGGTTTTGGCCAAAAGAACCACGTTAGTTTCCAGTGGGAAATTTAAAGTGCTCAAGAGTATCCATCGATCTTTTGAAGCAAAGTTTTTGGTTTAAATGCATTAAACAATGTGCAAAGGTTCCTAACAGCATATTCTTGTTTTAAGGTAAAAAGATGAATAGAAAAAGAAACATTAAAGATAAACTAATACCTACAGAATCATCTGACAGTTTGCTGACTCACCTCATTTGATAGTGAGTTGTCGTCAGGTTGATCTTGGTGTTGAGAAGTCTTTCTTTGGATTGGGGAGGGGTAAGATCCTTCATTTAACATTTTAGAACTTTTTGTTGAAGTCGGCATTTCATCCTGTGCAGAAATACCAGCGGAAATCTGCTCGCTTGGCTTTAAAGGAAGTGTGTCGACCACAACTGGATCTGACTGGAGGTTTCCATCGTCTTCAGGTTGACGATGACAGAGTGGTGCGTGTTCAACAGAACTGACCTGGACAGTGACGGGTAATGGCCGACGCTGTCGCTCGTTGGTTCGTAGGCAAGGCACACGGCGAGAGTAGTCATCGTGGAGACGGCTAAGTGGGGACATGAGAGATGGGGAGGTGGGACTGGGGGAAGGACTTGGTCTACGTCGGACAGTGAGGTCAGTCATGCTGCCAATTAGTTTCAGCATTTGAGCTTTGTTCTTTACGGGGCTCGTCCTGTCGCATTCTGTGCAGGTCCGAAGGTCCACTGAAGAAAAGCTGGAGGTCCTTTGGATGTTTGGTGTCCTGTTTGATAAACTAGTCCTTTGGGAGTATTCCTCTGGGGATGGAGGTCTGATACACGGGGCTTTGCCACTAACAGGTAGCTTGAAAATAGGAAGGTTCTCTGAACTTATGCTCCTTTTGTTCAAAATTTTCACATTTGTCTTTTTAAACAGAGTATCTGTTTGGACCCTAGATGCATGACATGGTTCCTGTGCAGTAACTGTAGTGTTCTTGCTACTTCCCGCTCGTCTCCCATTTTCCATGTCATGTAACATGATTCTTCCAGCACCATAAGCTCTCCTGATGCTTCTCGAGAAGCGTGAATTGCGAGTGAGTCCATTCACATCACTGTCTTCATCATCGTAGTCATCAACATCCAGGCTATACTGGCCAACTGTAGCAAAAATTTGGTCTGTAAAATTTCTGTTCTTCACATTATTTCCTTCAGCTTCTGTCTTTAAAAGATCATTATTCACAGCTGAGCCATTAGCCATGTCCATGTTCGGTGAAGAAACGTGGTCTCCATTGTTGTTTGCTGCAGCTTTACTCTGAATCCCTTGCAGCACCGAAGATCGTAGTTTTTTAAAGGAGTCCATGACAGTCAGACCTGTAAATCCTGCCCAAGGCTGAGGGCTGCCGCCGCCATCGTGGCTGCAGGCGGAGGTTGGACTGTCTGCGGCGGGGCTGGGAGGAGGAACAGGGCTCTTCTTGGAGTTTGAAAAAAGCCTCATAATTCTTGAAGGGTAAGGTTTGCCTTCGCTTTGACCTAAAACAGAGTTGGACCAGGAATTGATGCCGTTTAACCTGTTCTCATCAGAGCGAGGACCAGCGGTCATGGGCTGCACCTGAGCACTGCATCCTGACAGCAGACAGGGGACGGGGTGCCTTTCAGCGTGGTTCTGCAGTGGATATATATCACTGACGGGTCTGCTTCGGACCAGAGGCTCGGGTCTGGAGCTGTGGATGCACCGGAGAGGGTCTTCACTTTTGGACAAGACCAGGTCTGTTTGTTCTGCCTGAAAATTAAAGTTAAATATATGAATTTAAACAAATTAAATATTATTTAGGTTAATTTATGAGAATATTTGAAGAAACAAAAAAAAAAAGAATCCCTCAGTTTGAACAGAGTCCAGAGGAGAAACACATTTAACTGAGAATACAACATGCATTTGTCCTTGGCCCTTTATTTCTATGTCCAAGGAGGTGTGGAGGCCCAGGCTGGGGCAGTGGGGGTGCAAACTTCAGCTTTAAGTGTGTGTGATTCAAGGCAGTGGCTAATGCAGCTGAGTCTTTGAAGTCCAGCTTTGTGAGCGTGACTAAGCAATGAAAATTGCTAATCCATTGTGATTAATGCAATAAATTGCCCATGTTTTCTCCAGATTACATAGAAGATTAGAGGATGACGTCTGAAAAGGTTGGGTGGTCCTCAGATCTGTGACAACCTTCATATCATTACAAATTACAATCCAATAAAAGTTGGCAAGGGACTAACAAAGCAAAACAATAAAAACTGATTACTCTTTCCCTCTAATTCAAATAAATACTTTTTAGTAGGTTCTGTATCAGTCCTGAGAAACGACGTTGATCCATCCTACCATCACTTGTGAACAAGATGCCCAGACACTTGAACTTCTACACTTGAGGCGAAGACTACCCCTTGACCTGGAGGGGGTATTCCACCACTTCCCAGTTAAAACCCAAGGCCACAGCATTACAGGATCTGACTCTTATCCCAGCTGCGAACCGCCCCAATGCACACTGAAGGTCATGGCCCGAAACACCAACAGAACCATAATGTCCACATAAAGCAGAGCCTGAGACCCTCCTCTCCATGACTGAGCCTTTAGATCCTGTTCATGAACACCACAAACAAGATCGAGGACAAGAGATCAGTTCTGGTTGAGTCCAACTTTCATCAAGAACAAGCTGGTAAATGAAGAAAAAAGTTACAAACTATAATAAATACAAAATAAAATATAGTGAGATATATTTAATAAAACATGAGTTTTGAGTTATTTAGCCTAAAAAATTGTTTTCTTTCTCCTGACTTGCTACATCAAGTACAAACAAAGCAGTGCAACAGATAMCACATTTGCAGCAAACTCCTGCACAAAACAAACGACACAGAATACATTTGATTACGCAATCAAATTTACTGATTATTTCTAACTTAGCAGACTGGAGGGACAGGTTGTCACCCAGGGGCCACCAGTTGATAACTATTGCATTAGCTTAAAAACTATTTACCACTCTGGAAAACGTTACCTGAGAACCATAAAATGAACAGCCCCACATCCATCATGCTCAGAGCTGACAAGTTTTCCAACTTTATAAATCTTCCTCTTGATTGTAATCTCAGGTTTTAGAGATATGGACACGTCTTCCTCTTTATCAGAAAGTCAAAATATAAAATAAACTTGGCATTGGGCGCTAATCAGCATGATCAATATTAGAATTTTCAAGGAAGAAACATTTAACAAAACTTACCAGTACGTAAAAATGAGAAGTATTACCTTCTTGAGTGCCAAGAAAAACAAAAAAGGAATAAAAGTTTTAAAGAAACACTGCCTCCGGTGTGCAGCTGCAGGGAGAAGCAGGGTTTCCTAATGGTTTCCATACGTCCCTGTGCCTGTTCAGCAGCAGAGGAGCTTTCTCAATCAAGCATTCTGTGGAATCTGCTGTCACTTCAACCAGCTTACTCCATCGCACCGAACACTTATGTAAACACAGAGCAACCGCTGCCAAGCACTGCTGCTGACAGACACTGAACACCCTTCACAAACAATGCGCGGCTTTCTAAACTATGCTGAATTGTCTCCTTGTGTTTTTCTCCTCCTCGAGCGGCAGAGGAATCACGTTGGGTAGCAACTGGAAAAATAGAGGATCAATAATCTTGTCTGGTTTCTAAGGAGAAAGATAGAGGGAAGATAGGAAAAGAATGTCTACAGCCTGTTTTTGTTTTGAATGTTTGCGTCATGAAATCAGTCATTCTACCACACGCTTTATCTTTCAGCACCTTTATGTTTTGTTTTTTTTTCTTACTGCGGCAGGCGCCAACTGTCACACACCACCTGGCAGATCCTAATTCTTGGCAGTGTTGACAGTAAGAACTAAGGTGAGACAGCTGCTCACCTTTTTACACACCCATAAGATCCTTTTACATTCAGGTAAATCTAGTTTATCTGTTTAGTTTAGCGAGCACAGAATTTTCGTAGGTTTAAAGTTGATAATGAACCTACTTTACGAAGGAAAAGCTTAAACTGTTACTTTGTAATACTTATAGGAATAAAATATCTAAATTGAAATATGCATGTTTCAAAGTAAAATCATTAGGGAAATTACAACCAAAACGTAAGTAAACAAATGCTTCAGTTAAAATTAGCAAGTTAGAAATTTATCAAATAAATTATGACTGCAGCTGCAGAATACTTAATATACCGTAGGTAAAATAGAAACAAAAAAATCTGTTTCCTTCAAAACTACTTCTCTATCATAAACTCACTCTTTTTAAAATTCAATTTAAAGCAGATTATTAGAATTTCAAAGTAAGAAAAAACAAGCAACAGTGCATCAAACCATACATTCTGTACCATCGGACAAATATTACTTACATTTATCACTCCCTACAGTCTGCGTGTTTAACTTCCCTGTGYTGCCCACATGCCAGGGTTGCTGCTTCTCCCAGCTTCCTCTCGCTAATCTGTCGATGGGAGTGGTACACTGGAGGCCCTGGTCCAGAGTTAATTAAGAGCTCAGGGAGGAGTCCCCCCCACCACCACACACACACACACACATATGCACACACACACGAACAACGCAGCCAGCTGGAGCCACCATAAGATTAGACTCCCAGAGAGGAGGAACAACATGCTTTCAGATACATAAACATGTACACAGCAGTGGGAAAGCAGAAATGCATTCCAAAAACCAGGCAAGTGATTAGTCAAAGCATCTTCTCACAAGCGCACCGCGCCGTCTGTATAATGCACACTCGCTAATGCGTGCACGGAGCAGGGAGGGAAAGCACTGACTTGGTTGACTTTGTTCTTGTTTGACCAGAGAATCAAGGCGAACAGTTATGCAAGGAATCGTGAACGCATAGCAGGAAATCTGCAGAGCTCAGCTCAGCAGGACCACGCTCAGCTGGAGGCGAGGAGAAAACTCATCAGGATCAAATGAAATGAACCTCAGATTTAAAATAAAATAAAATTACCCCAGACAGGATATATTAAAGCAAAGTTAAGCCTTTTTCATTTTTCTACTTTTCCTTAGCTCTCAGACAGACACCCTGGAGCAGTACAAATAGTCTCACGTGTCGCTGTTAAAGTCTTGATATATAAAAGCTGAGAGGAAGACAAACCTGTCGACAACGCCACACGGTGTTTCACAGGAACAGATTGTCGGATCAGACTATCACTGTGCGTACACAGGGTTTTGTGAAACTTAAGCTGCATTTGCAGGATGTCGAGAAAACAGTGGTGTGCTTTTTTTCTCCCTCTTTCAGTTGCACAAGTGTCTCGCTGGGTTAAGCAACTCTTGACAATAAGCGCTGATATGAATTCATAATAAAATATTTTGTGTGTTGATGCTTGTTAGCCAGCTTTTCTGCTCAGAGTGAAACGTGTCGGTGAGGAGACACCGAAAAGGAAATAAATCCACCGTGTGAAGACATGGCCTATTCCTTCTCCATTCCAGTAATAATCTGTTTAGTGAGGCTTTACTAGTTTGTGTTCAGGACTGGTTTCGTCTTTACGATAGCCTAATCGGAGGGATCACTAGGTTATTCAGCACCGGCTGAGTGACACCAAAAGCTTGTAACCTGGCTGGCCCGCAGGACTCAACTGCAGGGGGCCCACTGGTCTTGATAGCAGAGATAAAGAGCTTATTTTAAGGACACACATCTCCAACAACCTAGTGATAGGTGTCGTTTTTACTGTGGTTTAAGAAGGGTGGTTTTAAGATGAGTCCTGTGTGGATAAAGCTCAGTTTTCTGATTTAAGTGTCGTATTTGTCCATGACCCAGTTCCCGATTATCAATGTGGCAAAAGCAGAAAGGGCAGGAGGGACACCACGCCTCTTCCTAGAGAGCGTGAGAAGTGCAGGTAGAGAGGCCAAAGCAGGGAGTGCCTTCRCTCTTTGCTGGGACAGAATCGTGCTCACCCAATCTGTGGGGACTGTCACAGAGACAGACGAGCAGAAATCTTACACCACACAATGACACGGAGCTAGTGGGGACAAAACACCACTGAGCCTGGCTGTCATCAGCCTGGAGTGTAACCTGACAGCAGAGCCACAAAGAGCTTTCAAAAACCATGACAAAAAGTTTAACTGCTAATCTAAGCTAAAGAAAGTTTAGAGCAGAAGAAAGTGGCCTGGTGTACAAGGTATACTGTTATTGCTTGCCGCTGAGGGCCAAAGGCARTTATGCCTTTTCTTGTGGATCTTCTAGTCTGTTAGCCAAATATCTCAAGAACCACTTGACAGGTTTTAGTGAAAATCTCAGAGTACACACTGGATGTACATCTACAACTCAATATTGGAGTCAACTGAATTCAGCATGCCCCCCCCACAGCCAACTGACTTTACAAAAGAAAAATGGCTAAAGCTCAGCCATTTTTACAGATACTGAGCTAAAATCTCATGTGGTAGTTGCTGAGAACTATTCCCAACATATAATTTAAGTGCAACACATTTGCTTAAATCTTTGTCATAAACTGTTGGAGTCAATCGTGTTAGCAAAATATCTTATGGATCACTAAATAAAATGTAATGAAATTTTCAGAAAGCTATCGTTGAAGACGAGTTGAAACCTCCCTGGTGAGGTGTTCCGGGCACGTCCCACTGGGAGGACTGGGAGRCCCTGAGGAAGACCCAGGACACGCTGGAGGGACTATGTTTTTCGGCTGGCCTGGGAACGCCTTGGGATTCCCCTGGATGGGCTGGCCCAAGTGGCTGGGGAGAGGGAAGTCTGGGTCTCTCTGCTTAGGCTGCTGCCCCCGTGACCCAACCCYGGATAAGCAGCAGAAGACGGACGGACAATCGTTGAAGACTTTCCAACTTTTGGGTTCACCCCTATTCAAAAAGCACATTACAGCTACTCAAAAGAGCTAACACAAAACAGGTGAGTCAGTCAATTCTACAATTTGTCTATTTTTTTTCAAGCTATTTGATGTGTTAGTAGCTAAGAGTCATCATCAACACATAACCTGRGAGCTGACACATCTGGTTCGTGAAAGCATTTATGAGGTATGACCAAAAATGGCTAAGTGTCATTTCTCATCATAATTAATTTATCTTGCTATGCTATGCTATTCCTATAGCAATAAGAGGACTCTGACCTGGCTGAATAAAGTGAAAATAAAAAAAAGTTTATTATATGATGTTAGATTGTAAAGGAAGTGTTGCCAGAGGGGGTAAAGGAGAAGGAGCAATGGGAATCCTGACCTCACTGAAGAACTCAGAGCCCAAGAAGAAGTGCTTCTTCTGCATTAATTAACTTTCTTGGGCCGTTGGGCTCTTTGTAGTTTCTTTGTAGTTAGCCCCTCCCTCACCAGCTCCCTGCACGGCCTGGCATCTCCCACATCACTATAACAACCACTGCTGTAACGCTCCACACAACAACCCCCACTCCCCTTCCTCATCCCCAAGCAGGTCCCATTTTCAAATCACTGCAGCTGCTTTCAGTGTCTTCATCAAGCCGCCCTATGTAAACAGTCCTGTGGGAGAGTCAGAGGACTGGGAACGATAAAACTCACCCTGCTCATAATGTTCTCCTCCCGACTGGACTTCTCAACTCGGCAGCTGTTTCGCTACTTATCCATAGCGAAAGGAGTGCGTGTCTTCCGGGGGCTTCTTGTTGCCCTCTCGCAAACACATGTCGGGCACAAAAAACAAGAAGCCCGACGAGTGCCTCCTCCTTTCATCGYTCACTCCGCAGCTGCATACTGGCTGAAACAAACGGCTCGCCGATTTAAGCTAGCTCCGCGAGCTCACCGATAATAAAACTTCTTCTGAGAGTTGCGCAAACCCCMGCGAGGTGTCTGATTTCACTTTCCAGGACCGGCGAAACTCGTTGGTAAGCGCAAAATAAACAGTGAAACAAATGATACGACTTGAGGTTACTCAAAGAACCGCTGGGTGTTTCGATGGAGCCCAAGCAACATGACATTCTTCTTGGAAGATTGGGCTAGTGGAGAGCATCATCCGTGCACTTGTTGCAGTCGCWGGGGGGCGGGGCATCGAAGGGTTACAGAGAAAGTTATTGGTTGGCCMCAACTTCACCACTCATTTGACAGCCAATAGATTTTTAGCCCGAAATTGTAAAACCGAGTCCATCTCGACTGCTCCGCATGAGAAGGTTGTTATGGCAGGCCGTTGTGACATCTAATCAAACATCTTCTCTCACTAAAAAGAACTGAAGTCCAAAATATCTAAAGTTTAGACTTGTAAATATTAATATTTTTTGCTCTTAATTGGCTTTTATGATTCAGAATTTAAAATATATATTTTTAATGTTGCTTTGTAAAAGGAAATTTATGTCTAGTACTAACAATAAAATCGCAGATATCTGAAATATCAATATATCTAAACACTCAATTCTTGTTTTAGAATAATTATATTAGTGTTATCAGGCCATGTTGATATTATTGACAGGTTTAATGGCATTTTAGATCACGGAATTTTTCCTTTTAATTTGTCAGGTTTACATATTTTGTGCAAGAATTTCTTTGCACCAAGAAATACAGCAGCTTCAAACAGTGCTAAATCCCAACATACATCACATAAAACCAACAACTAAACATGAAACTTAAAATATGCTCAAATCAAGCTTAAACACTTGCTTCATAGATCTTGTGGAACTATGATATAATTAACTACATAACTTACCATAAATACACAATGTTACACCTACCTCTCAAAACCGGGTCTTCCAGTTGCTGCCGCACAGTGTTCCTCATGTCATGTCAGTGAATCACAACAAAATAATTATTGTCACGAGTAGGCTTATTTCTGTTTCCATGCCCATCCCTCAAAACCAGAAAAAAAATACAATGTGTTTGAGAGTGCTCTTCATTGTCTGACAAAATGCAGCTCAGATTAAACCTCTGAACACTTCCTTTTCATCTGATTTAAAAATAACWTTTCATATCTGACACAGTCAGTCATCCATGCTAATAGCAGAATGATCAGCAYGTTCCGTTTCTTTGCAGAGAATGTTACTTGCAGTTTTATTTGTCATGTTTTAACAATGCTACATGCTTGGCTCAACTTGCAGCAAATAAAAGCCAGATTGAACCCTWATTTCTGGATACTTTTCTGAAAGTTTCTTCTTAGTTCCACACATTGTATCACAAATACTTTTAGTATAAAACTGTTTATATTCATATTTTATATGCAGTAAAACTCTGGGAGGTTTTTTTAGACTCACACAAACATTTATGCAATTTGATAATATGTATTTATTAATATGTRATATATTTGATAAGCCTTCAAATAAACTGTTTCACAAATGTTTTGTATTTTGATTTTCTTCTAATTTGACAAATTATCAAATGATATTCTACTATTTTTTATTATATATTTTAAAATAATTTTAGAAAAGTACTAGAATAAAGAAGAAATATAATTTGTGATTTATTTTTGAAATGCCTTTTTTTTTAAAAAAGTTAATAATTTTCACATTCAAAATCTTTATTAAACTCCAAAAATGATAAACCCAGAGAAGGTTGTGTCATCATCTTCATCAGCAAAGAGCCCGTTGTACAGTTCTCCTCCGACCACCTGCAGCCACACCCTGTCGCCCACCTCCAGGTGCAGCACAGCGCCCCCTGCTGCCTGATCCTCGCTGTTCTGGTAGTTATCCATGGTGTGGATGATTCTGGCCCCGTTCTTCACGAGGGCCACTTTCACGTTCCGAGAAAAGACTGTGATGTGGTAGGTGAAGTAGTAGGCGCCGGCCGAGGTGCAGGTGAACCTTCCTGTTTGCGGGTCGTAGTGATTTTGCACGTTGTAAATAATCTTGTCAAAGCGAATCGGCATGTTGGCTGCTGGGAGTTTGGTTTGAGCTGAGAGTCCCACAGAGAAGGCGCTTTTAGGGATTATGGGCATCTGTCCCTTTTCGCCCTGCTCTCCCTTCTCTCCTCGAGTGCCACGCTCTCCTCGGTAACCGATGCTTCCTTTGTGACCTGGGACACCAATGTCTCCCTTTGGGCCTGGCTTGCCAGGGGGTCCCAGAGGTCCCAGAAAGCCTCTGTCACCTTGAAGACCAATTTCTCCTTTTGGACCATCTGGTCCGATAGGTCCCATGTCTCCTTTAGGCCCTACTGGGCCTGGAAGCCCAAGTTCTCCCTTATTTCCTTTTGGTCCGATGGGCCCTTGCACTCCTTGGGGCCCAATTTTGCCAGGAGGCCCCCGCTCCCCATTATCACCTCTTTTTCCTTTGAGCCCTGCTGGGCCAGTTGCACCTGTACCAGTCAGATTTAAGTCAAACTGAATAAACATTTTAGGCAAATAAACTGCAACAAATACACCAAATAAAGTGATAGGAATAATTTTCRAAGATCCATACCAATGTCTCCTTTGTCTCCTTTGTGGCCATTGTTACCTGCTTGTCCAACTGGTCCAATCTCACCTTTAGATGAGTTTATTAAAAAACATTTACATTATTACAAGTTGCTGAWATTAAACATGGAAGGAAACAGAAGAGTCAGTTCTAAAGAGATTAAATTGTTCTTACCGTGGTCCCCTTTGTCCCCTCTGAGTCCATCCCGGCCGTCCCTGCCAGGCKCCCCATTGTGGCCGGGATCCCCTGGTATGCCCGGGAATCCACAAACACAGCCTTTAGTTTGCGTCGGTTCCTCTGCAACACATCTGATGGCCAGAAGCACCAGCAGCAGAGTAACCCCAAACCTAACTTGCGACATGGTCAAAGCTGCACTCTTAGACTTTTAGAAGTTCGAGCATGGCACACGGTTAAACCCAGACTCAAAGCCATCCCATTGGTCAGTGTTTTTAGTTTACTTGTTAACTCTGCTCCATCAGTTATGCAAGACCTGTGTCCCTCCAGCTGCTTCTCCAGTCAGGCTAGGCTAATAATAAGCTCAGGATGAGAGGTTTGCATAGTTTCACATGAGCTGTTTTCTTACACAGAGTAGAAAACTGGACAATACCCAAAGAAAAATAACTATACACTTTGGATAACATATCCTTCATGGGTATCCCATTTATTTATTCTGGTGTATGAACTGACCTTTAGAAAGCTTTTTCATTTAAAGGTTCGGTTTTAATTAGATTCTGGTCACTGGATGCAAACATGTTAAGTCATGCATGCTTTTTAATTACCTGCCATAAAAAATAAACAATGAACCAGAAGAACTGACTCCATAGACTGGGTCACTGTCATTAAAATGATCATTCAGATATTTTTGAAGTGGGATTATTTGGAGCAATTGTCAACAATCGGTATCTTACCTGTTGTGGACAGTGTTTTTGAATGTCAGTTTGGAGAAAAGATGAGCTGACTGTTAGTTTGAGTGGGGCGATGAGTGAAATGCAGACATTTTAAAACAATTTCAGCCTCTATGGTTATTTGCAATAACAAATGAAGACAGCAGCAGCTAGCTGTAGCATGTCCAGTGCAGCCTGGGGTACATTTTGGCAGGAATATCATCATGTCACATCACAGCATCCTTTTATCCAGACTTGAACATGTTGTTGGTCTTGAAGGCTCAGTTTTAACAWGGTTCAGGTCATATTTGGCAGACAAGTCTTTTTCCATTTCTATGGGGGAATAATTCATCTAGTCCTATTTGATGTGGTGTACCTCAAGGTTCTATTTTAGGACCTATTCTTTTTTGTTTGTGCATGCTGCCATTGGGATCAATTTTTTAAAAAGTATAAAATATCTTTCCATTTTTATGCTGATGACATTCAAGTTTATTTTCCTTTTGATTCAAATGTCTCTGCCCATCTCTAGCCTCTTTCAAACTGTCTCCTGGATGTCAAAGACTGGTTATCCCAGAATTGTCTGACTTTGAATGAAGACAAAACTGAAGTTATTTTACTTGGCAATTATCCTCCTCTTGATGGTTTACGTGGATTTCTTGGCCCACTTGCTCCCAATTGCTCATCTGTGGTCAAGAATCTTGGAGTGTTTTTACACAGCACTTTTAAATTTGAGAAACAAATCAGTTTTTATCAGCTTCGTCTAATTGCCAAAGCAAAATCTTACATTCCCCACAAAGACCTTGAAACTCTTTCCCATGCYTTTATTAAATCTAGACTATTGCAACTCTTTATATGTTGGTTTGGAACAATCATCTCTCCATCACTTGCAGTTTGTCCAGAATGCTGCTGCGTGTCTTTTAACAGGTTCTAGAAGGCAGGACCACATCRCTCCTGTTTTATCTGACTTGCACTGGCTGCCTGTTCAATTTCGTATTGATTTTAAGATTCTTTTACTTACATTTAGTTTTAAATGGTCTGGCACCCAGTTATTTRTTGGCCCTGTTACACTTTTATACCCCAAACAGAGAACTTAGATCCTCTAATCAAATGCTTTTAGTGCAGCCAAAGGCAAAACTAAAGCRTAGAGGGGAATGGGCTTTTGCTGTGGCGGCCCCCAGACTCTGGAACAACTTGCCTCTTGAGATCCGTACTGCAGAGTCTGTTGAGTCTTTTAAATCTGACTTAAAAACTCACTTTTTTACACTGGCTTTTAACTCAAGTTCAGTTTGAGCTACCTCAGGAATTTTTTATTTGTGTCTTTTTATTTTGTTTTCAGCTTTTTATTCATTTTATTGTATTGTGTCTGTGAAGCACTTTGGTCAACACTGTTGTTTTTAAATGTGCTATATAAGTGATGATGATGATGATGTTTTGTCTGGAATAACCGTGTAAAAAGTGATGGCATTGTAAAAGGTTAGGACAACGGTAAACCAGTAAAAGGTTAGGACAACGGTAAACCACTTTGGCCTTCATCACAACTGAACCAGTAGCTCATCAATTTAGTCAAACTGAAACACTATTTATCCAAATTGGTTTAGTTCAAAAAGGTGTCCACAACAGGTAAAATACTGATTRTTAATAACATTTTTAAACCGACTGCAACACACATGAAGTATCCCTTTAACAATTATCTGTTGTTTCTCACATTCTTATAATTGCTTTTTGTTTCAGTTAGGCTAAGAAATAAATATCAGAGCAACATGATTAAAGCTACTTTCATGCAGAACTCCATAAACAAAATGAAGAAAAACCTTAAGTCACGGTAAAACAGAAAAATTTGCTTAAAGAGTTTAATAGYAGTTTTGGTGGATCTTCTGTTTTCAATACCTTCTATACCTAAAGCTAAGATGAGTTAGAGGGATTTCACATTGTGCTGCTAAACAAAGACTCACTGTTACTCTGGCTTGAAGCAGCCACCAACATCTAAATCATTCTGCTGCACTGCTGGCACTTTATTAGATTGGGCACATGGAAAGGCTGAGGGAGTGGCTGGAACATAAAACCAACACAACACACCAACCTCAGCATYATGCAAGATCGAAACAAATGTTTTTGTTTTCTTCATACTTTTATTCTTTATTCTTTTTCCACAGYTCTTCTCTCAAGCCTCCAGATATAAATACATTTGAAAAAATATAAACAACACACGTAAAAGTGTTCATTCAAGCAGTGTGGTTTAACTGGCACCAAAAACTTCATGTTGGCTATTGCACATTTACTTGTTCACTGTGCGCAAATTAGACACAGCACGGACAAAWTAATGCGACCTAACATAAAACATAACGAGGGCGTGGCTCAGAACGGATGACTCTCATTTATCATTCGAGACCAGAACGTCAGGACCCAGAGTTTGAAGTCCACCAAACCAGGCACAACGTGAGGTTGATTTGGTTACAGAAGATACTGCAACAAGGCTTCAGACAAGAGAACAGACTCAACATCACTTACCGAGCCTCGTTAAYCCAAAAGGGATAGTTCATAACTCTCGAAATGGGGTTCTGTGGCAAAGTTATAAAAAACTAATACCTTATCTGTTGCAGATATTARTTTCTACAGAAATCAAAAGATGTGAACTATCCCTTTAAGGATAAATAATAACACAGCAATGGTAAGCTCTATAGCCCCTAAAGTAAAACATACAAAACTTTAAAAATAACAGTACATACAGCATGCTGTAACAGTTACAGTATCTCTGAGAGTATGTGTACATTACTGATGGCTTTATTGTGTATTATTTTAAACTTTATGAGATTTTACCAAACAACTGAGATTCACATCAAGTAAACGTGAACTCTGAAAGTATTAAAGACATAGTTTGGTCATTTTTAGATTATGCTCTGTAAAATAGTTATAGTACTTTATCTGCCATGACATCACTGACTGAGTACAGTGTGGAGAAAAGGGCAGATGTCTTTGTCCAGGCTAAGCTAATGGCTAGCCAAGCCAGGGCCCATTAAGAAATACTAAATCTTTAGGCTTGAAAAGTAAGTCTTTATCAAAATCARCATACAGATGTGAAAGAATGAGTCATTAGTTAATATTAAGTGTCTACATTTTTAACAACTGTTTAGTTTTATTATTATTTTTTTCCTAAACTGAACAATAACCATGCTGCACAAATAGCTGAACAACGGCTGATTTTTCTGGTGCTCAAATGAAAAAACAGCAACAAACTAAACAAATTATGTCATCCAAAAGAAGTTTATTATTAGCTAATAAAGCGTTATTTCACTATGATATGATATTTTGAAAATAAATAGTTTTAAAGGTCAAAGAAATTGATCTTCATTTGGCTAGCTATTAGCTTAGCCTGGAAGAAGACTTTTGCCCTTTTCTCACTCTGTGCTCCATGACTCCATGATAAGGTACTAATACCTATAACTACTTGACAACATCACCTCAAAAATGATAAGACTATGATTCTTTCAGAGGGAAGGACAAACAGAATGAGAGCTACAGCAGCTGACATCATTTTCCTTTTGTTTTCAAGAATCAAAGGAAACACTTCTGGGGAAAAAGCAGCACTTTCAGGGAGACTGAGGTTAATATGGAAGGTGCTRCAAAGCTTAGGAAAGTTTTGGAGCTACAACATTTGTGGTATTAGTAGAAAAGGAAGTCTGGAAGCAGGAGGGGTGGGGGCGTGTTAGCTGKTGGGTGGTCTACATGATCTGACGGTGCATGCCGTAGCCGGTCATTCCGGCTTGGGAAGCCCCACGGTTGCTGCCCATCTGCAGGCCGATCAGACTCTGTCCCTGACGCAGCTGCTCTTCGGTAAACTCTCGTCGATATCCTTGAGCTTTCCTACAGGACAACGAAAAGTACAGTTTATGTAAAAATGCGAATTTATGAAGCTTTTGTTGTCGTTGTTGTTGCTCCATACCTGTGGAACCAGTCTCTGTCACCTTTGTACAGACCATCGTCTTTCGTGACCGCCAAACTACCCAGCGCCATCAGGGTTCTTTGTACTGCCGCCATGTCTTTTCCTGCAATGAGCAAAATAACACATACGTCATCACAGATTAACATTTATGGGAACGTATCTGGTTAGTGAAGTTCTTTACCTTCCCAGAGGTCCACAGTTTGGAAGATGTCTGTGGTGGTGACTCCGTAAGCTTCTGCCGCCTGCAGGAACTGGGAGAYCTTCTCCATTTGTTTAAAGGCCATCTGCGTCTCTGTGATCTTTTTGATGGGCTCTTTCCCTCTTGGATAAAGGCTGTTGATGAGTCGACACAGGATCTGGGAAAGACGGAGGTCAGAAAGCTTTTTTCAACCAGATTTCTGTGAACAAGCTGCACCAAGTTTTGGATGAACACATTAGTTTAATCTTTCCGGATTAAGTTATGCTCCTATCGCTTTAACAAGATGAAAAATCACATGAAAGAGCAGAAAAATAATGCTGATTTGAGTAAAACAGCTGAGCAAAAGATATTTTTTAATGTTTAAAAATGAGTTTTATCAACAGAAATTAGTGACGATTTTTTAAAATAAAGTGATAATTTATTTTAGTTGTAGAATTGTTGCATTGTTACATGGGTTTAAACTGCTAGCTGAAAATGAGGGTTTTTATGCAAGTCTTCCAGAAATACTCAATGTGAAACTAAGTATTTAAATTCCTGTTTAAGTTGGGAAAAGTTGCTTTTTATAGCGGGTTACATCACCAAACTTCCTACCTTATGACAGAGCGTTCATATTCTACCTTAAATAATTCAACATATTTCTATTTTAAGCAGCAAACGGTCCACTCACTGTTCCATCCATCAGCCATTTCTGGAAGTTCTCCCTCCCCGGCTGTGGTTTCTCCACATTCCCTCCACACTGGGCCACTATCCAGTCCACCAGACGCTGCTCCAGGTCAGGGTCGTACTTCTGCTCGATCTTCTCCTGCACCTCTCGGCTCAGTCCGTAACTGGGCCCTCTGTTCGCCATGGCAGATGTCTCTCTGTAATCTGTGCAGCTGGAATAAATGAAAATACAAGGTGAAGTTATTTTTTTTTTTCATTTAAAATATGTTAGAATGAGCTTAAACCAGAGGCTCAGTGTTTGTTTTAAAGTGGGCGACAGCAGGTTTTCCTTTCTTTGAGATGCGCACAGAAGCATCCAGGAGGGCCACAGAAGGGTGTGGTCCCTTGGCAGAGACATGCCCTCTTATTGCCATGGCAACAACAGCCTGTTTCCGGCTCATGATGCTGAGCTGGGGATGTTCCGACCCAGAGCAGGCGGTGATGTGGATGTTTTAGCATAAAGTTGGGAGAAAACACAGAGCCAGCATGCAACACTGTTTGGTAAAATTACGTCAGTCCTGTGACGCATTTACGGTCCGCGTTTACTCTGATCTTATCCTCAGTGCATCACATTTTCCAAAAGTTAAAATCGGATTATTTAAATAAAGTCCAGCTTATTTTAACACGTCCACGATTCTTCAGATAACTGCAGCTTTTAAAAAACTGTTTCCAAATCAGAATGCACCTGCCAAAAAAAAAAAAAAAAAAAAAAAAAAAAGCGCATAAAACTGCGACAAATGTTTCTAAACGCAACGCGTCAATTCTGACGCGCAGTGAACGCGGGTTTATTAATAAAGGAAAGACTTACGGAGGAGGACAGAGCGGTCACGGCCTTCCCGACTTAATCCCGCTGAGCTGGACAGAGCTGAGGACGGTGCCGGACTGCTGAAGCATCCATAAAGCACACAGCACGACCGCGTCGGGCCAGACCGGACCGGACTCTGTCCGGGAGGGGGCGGCTGACTGGTTTTATACGCGGCTCCTCCAGGAGGGGACGCTCAGACGCACCCACACCTCTGATGAAGTGACCCTCAGCAAACACGTGAATGCGTCATATCGATGTCCTCATGTCCAGTTCAGAACAATGTGTGCGATACCACCTTAAATATGACCTTATCCTCACTGAGAGTCAGCAGAATTCACCAGATCCTGAGTCCAGAGATTTAAATCACTGCTTTAATTTCACCACTAACTTTATTTGTTTGGCTTTTACAAAATTCAGCTTAAACTGAGTTCTCACTAGAATTTATTTCTTATCACACATTGTGAAACAATCATGACAAAGTTTGGACGTAGTGAATGTAAACAAAATAATGATTTGCAAATCTCACAAACCCGTATTTTATACACAACGGAACATTAAAAATGTCTTTGAACTTAATGGCAGCAACACATCTAAAAAATGTTAGGGTCTCTGTGAAACACCTGATCTTCTTTTAAGTCTGTAAACATTTAGGAACCAACTTTGCTAAATATTTTGCTGCGGGTAAAATAAGTATTGAACACGTCACATTTTTCTCAGTAAATATATTACWAGAGGTGCTAATGACTTGAAATTTTCACCAGACGTCGGTAACAACCCAAGTGATCCATACATACAAAGAAATCAAACCATAAATGTCCAGAAATGAAGTTATTTGTAATAATGTGGAATGGCACAGGGAAAAAAGTATTGAACACACTTACTGAAATTTATCTAATACTTTGTACAAAAGCCTTTGTTGTCAATGACAGCTTCAAGAYGCCTCCTGTATGGAGAAACTAGTGGCATGCATTGCTCAGGTGTGATTTTGGCCCATTCTTCCACACAAACTGTCTTCAAATCTTGAAGGTTTCGTGGACCTCTTCTATGAACTCTGATCTTTAGTTCTTTCCATAGATTTTCTGTTGGATTCAGGTCAGGTGATTGGCTGGGCCATTCCAGCAGCTTTAGTTTCTTTCTCTGAAACCAACTGAGAGTTTCCTTGGCTTTGTGTTTGGGCTCATTGTCTTGCTGAAATGTCCAGCCACGTTTCATCTTCATCATCCTGGTAGATGGAAGCAGATTTTTATCAAGAATGTCTCTGTACATTTTTCCACTCATCCTTCCTTCAATTATTTGAAGTTTKCCAGTACCATATGCTGAAAAACAGCCCCACACCATCATGTTCCCACCTCCAAACTTCACTGTTGGTATGGTGTTTTTGGGCTGATGTGCAGTGCCATTTGACCTCCAAACATGATGTGTATTCTGGCWTCCAAACAGTTCAATGTTGGTCTCATCTGACCAGACTATATTCTCCCAGTATTACACAGGCTTGTYTAAATGTTGTGCAGCAAACTTTAAAGGAGCTTCAACATGCTGTTTCTTCAGCAGTGGAGTCTTGCGTGGTGAGCGTGCATACAGGCCATGGTGGTTCAGTGCATTACTTATTGTTTTCTTTGAAACAAACGTACCTGCTAATTCCAGGTCTTTCTGAAGCTCTCCACAAGTGGTCCTTGGCTCTTGGACAACTCTTCTGATMATTCTTTTCACTCCTCTGTCAGAAATCTTGTGAGGAGCACCTGGTCGTGGTCGGTTTATGGTGAAATRATGTTCTTTCCACTTCTGAATTATGGCCCCAACAGTGCTCACTGGAACCTTCAGAAGTTTAGACATTCTTCTGTAACCGATGCCATCATTATGCTTTGCAACAATAAGGTTGTGAAGGTCTTGAGAGAGCTCTTTACTTTTACCCATCATCAGATGGTTCTTGTGTGATACCTGGCCATCATTTGGGACTGAACCAGCTGATATTAACTTGCACTGACAARGGGCAGGCTTGTTTTCTAATTACTGAGAGTTCAGCTGGTGTCTTGGCTTTCCATGCCTTTTCACACCTATCTTTCTTCATGTGTTCAATACTTTTTCCCTGTGCCATTCCACATTATTACAAATAACTTCATTTCTGGACATTTATGGTTTGATTTCTTTGTATGTATGGATCACTTGGGTTGTTACCAACATCTGGTGAAAATTTCATGTCATTAGCACCTCTAGTAATATATTTACTGAGAAAAATGGTGATGTGTTCAATACTTATTTTACCCGCTGTATGCATCCAGTGTTTTTGCATTGATGGAGCTTTTACTGTAGGCGGCCCGTGTCAGAGGTCAATGCACCCCTATAACAACAGAGAGGCAAGCTTTGTGCAGTGATAAAAAGTTGGACGCTCCCGCTCCTCTTTCGGAAGACTTAATGCTGTGGTTTTCATTTTTTTTTGCAACATGCCCTTTCAGCAGTTTCAGCCTTTTGTTGTGGCCAGTAGATACTTGAGTTTTTCCCAAATGTTTCGTTTATCAGTTTCAACATTTGTTTTGTTTCATTGTGAATAATTTAAAAGCTTCATAGTATTTTGTTGCAATGCCTAATCTTTTGAAGCATTTGTGTTCACAGTAAAAAATGTATTAATTGGTGCAACAACCCTTTTGGCCCCTCTCATGGTGTGGACTGACATTTGTAATTTAGACATAAAAAGTGAGTGAGTGCAGAGCTCTGTCATAACCTAAAGGTCACTGCTGCAGTTATAAGATGACCTGAGGGAGATAAGTGCTTGATTTGCCCCACTGAGCTTAAAGCAGCTGCTTGTTAATAATCAACAGTTCAGTGGATCCATTCAACAGACCTCAGTAACTAAAGGCCAGCGGGGATGTGAAGCGAAGCAACAACAAAAATAAACCTGAGAGGCAAGCTTAAACACGCTGAATAGTGTTGGACCCAAATTCTCTGCAAATGTATTATTGTTCACCGTTTAATCTATGAAATATTTCCAGATTTTTGCCTGACAGGATTGTTTTAATGTCTGCTCCATGTTTCAGTTCTGACACTTTCATCCCCGCCTCTTCCTGCATTAGTCTATTTTATTTCTGCACAGCAATTTACTGCTGCTAATGCAAAAGGGGACTCTTTCATTTCCAATTAGGACAATTTAAAACATCTGCTTTTCAAATTAGAATAAAACACAAGACATATATTGCACCATGTTGTGGTTCATTGAATAAAAATTAACGTATTTTTTTTTCTGCAGAACATTTTGTGCTGCTTTAACAAAACAGGGGAATTTAAGAATGTATTTCATTAGGTTTGTGCTAAAACACTAAAGCAGAAAGAAATCAGCAATGTCCTTAAAAGATGCAACTTTTACTAACTCAGTTATTCATCATTTTCTATTGTAAGGGTTCCCCAATGGGGAAATAAACATTTCCACTTTCTTTGACTCTGGTTTAAAAAAAGACTCTCAAGAGACATTTTATTTTCTTTAATAAACAAAATAATAATGTTTTTTATATTTTTGATTTATAAAATGATAATAAAATGTCTCTTTTGAGAAAGGTCTTTTTAAACCAGAAAATAAAGCAGTGCATTTTCACTTTTTGGACTCTATATTAACCATTTTTCATTTACTGAAGGTTGCAATTCCTTAACTTTTAAGATTATTTTTAAAAAAAAAACTATTTTTATCATGTTATAAAACACAAAACTATAAAAGTGAAAGTGAGTCGGTCACCATCGGTCACCAAACATAATTGTTCAACATTTTTTTCCTTGCAGCTGTAAAGGTGTTTGTACAAAAAGGTTCATATTTGAAGCAGCACTTTAGTGTGCAGAGGTTTTATTGGCCAAACATAGATGAAAAGTGGAGGATAAAAAGGCACAGGAAGACTTGTTTAGTGTCTACTCAGAGGTGAAACAGCTAAACGCTAAGAACAGTGGCAGAAACAGCAGAAAATGAAGACAATAATGACAAGGTAACACTTTATACAATAACTTGAAACATACAAAAGTATCCTGAAGATTCAAGGGTGCAGCAAAACCCCTCTGATCATGGTTTGCACGGTAAGAACTAGGTGATGGAAAACTATGGCGAAGAACTGATGCATCAAAGGTCACGTTTGGCAAAGAAGCATGCCGCTGTTTGGTAATTTCCTCGAGGGCTAACGTCCCAGCTAACAGTCAGGAACATCTCCTCCTCTTCAGACCATGGTGGTCAGCTTGTCTATGAGGTCGTCGATCGTGTAGACCATCAGCTTGATGTCGTCCTTCTCAGACATGCGGTGCTGGCCGTTTCGCCTGAGGATGATGTCGACATCAGGACTCAGGACGCGCTCTGCCACCTGCATGGAGATGTGCCAGGGGACGTCCTCGTCCTTCAGGCCGTGGATGAGCCGTACGGGGCAGGTGATGGGGATGGGGCTTTGAAGCACACAGTGATTCTCTGCTTCACGCAGGAAGTCCATGCTAAACTTGTAGAAACCTTCCTCTGAGTGTTTGGATGGCAGGGTCCACTCCCCCTTTTCCTCCAACTCCTTGCGAGTCTGGGAATTTTAAAGCAGAAAGGATCTCACTTAAAAAATAAATGTATTGAAATAAATAAATAAAATGCAGCACAAAAAAGTTTGCCAAAAGGGAAGTGAATGCTGACAAAAGACTGACAAAAATAAATTAGAGACTAAATTGTTACCTGATTTTTTTAAATTAAAACAAAAAAAAACAGAAGCTAAAATTTGTAGTGTATAAAAATACTAAAACTGTAGCTAAAATCTTAAACCTCCAAACAGTAGCTGAAAGCTAAAATCAGCCAAACAGTAACTAAAAACTAAAATGAACAAACTCTTAGCTAATCGCTTGTTATCAAAATCACAGCTAAAATGATTTAAATGCTTAAATCAGAAAAAGGTGGCTAAAGGTTTAAAACTCCAAAAAATGTATTTACAAACCATAAAAGCTAAATTGAGCAAAATGATAACTAAAATTTGAAATGAGCAAAACCATAGATAAAAGTTAAAATCTACAAAATTTTAGTCAAAATCTAAAAGGTGTATTGAAGAGCTAAAATATTCAAAATCATAGAAGCTAAAACAGACAATGACAGAGCCAAGTACACTAAAGTAGTTTTCCTTCTGATTTGTAGGATTTAAACAGATTTTAATATATTTCTATGGGAAATTTTAAATAAAGTAAAAAGAATAAACTCTAAACAGAAAATCAGTCTAAAATCTGACTCAGCATCAACACAATAATAAGACATGCCCCCACCTCTATTGGTAGAGACTTGAACGCTGTAACAAAATGATCCGTTGCAGAGGAGATGCCCACCAGAGCTGCAGTCTTTTCAGGTCTTGCGATGGCTGCTAAAAGCATGAGCCAACCACCCATACTGGACCCCACTAAAATCTAGAGAAACAGTGGAAACACCACAAACAACACTTTATATAAAATATACATATACATATACAGTATTAATAAATAAATAAGCTGATAAACAGTAGGCTAATGCTACAGATGTGGTGACATGGCGCCCTCTGCTGGAGAAAAAAGTAGACACAATGGGCCTCATGCAAGAACATGTTCGTATTCTTCTCCTAAATTTCTCTTACTTTTGTTCGTACAAAGGGTTCG